TAAGCCTCTTTTTTGGCTGCTGAGATGGCTTAGCAGGTAAAGGCACTTGCTAAGTTGGATCCCCAGAGCCCGTAAGGTACGAGAAAAGAACGGGCTTTGACCTCTGGTCTCCACGGGCACGCTGTGGCATGTTCACACCCACACCCACATGCAAAATAAAAACAAATAAATGTAAAATTTATTTTTTAAAGAAGAAAAGGTTAAGAGGAATGCTTTTTTCTTCCAATCTACTATTGGGGACATAGTTGGCTTACTAATTTTTTGTTTATTGTGTGGTAAGTATTGCAAACATTTATCTTGTAACTCAGATGAACACTCAATGAGACAAGAAAAAAATATGAATAAATCCTGAAGGATCCTCAGCACAACACTCAGAATGGGTCCCACAAATGCCCAAGTCACAAGCCTGATGCTTCTTCTTCTCCCCACAAAGCCAGATCCCAGGAAAGCAAACTGAATTTTAGAGTCAAACCTGAACAAATTAGAAACACTAAAATATTTCCACTGCTCAACTGAAACTCATGTAACACTTTATTACTAAATTCTGGGGATTGGACCCCAGGCCTTATACATATAAATCTAGTATATATTATATTAAACTATTATATATTATATGCTATTATATAATATTTTATTTTTATATTACACACATATATACTATTATGTATTTTACTATTAAAGGCATGAGAATTTCTTCAATTCCACATCTTAAGGGACCCAGCTTTGAGGTATTAGAGTCAAATGATCTAAAAATACCTCCCACTAATAACACCAATTAAATTTAGTTAACCGGGTGTATGGAAGAATATTGGGCAAGCCAGCCAATTAAACATCATTTGGCTTCATCCTTCCTGTTTTAAGTGGAAATTGGACCCCTGTCTTTAGATCGTTTTATTTTTTAATTTTGAACACTTAACTTAAAAGATATAAATTAATTTGCTCTTCTGTCTTTTAGAACAAAGACTAGTTCTAGGGAAATCATACCCTAATAACCTACTTCTTAAACTGAAAACGTAATTACCATAAATGAAAGCAGCCACATAGGGGAGGGGGGTTGTTTCTAAAGACATCAGAGGGGGTTGGTGTGAAAATGAAATTCTGAGAAAGCAGTTTGCTATACAAAACTGACACTCGATCAGCAAGCAGAAGCGTGTGAACTCATTTCCAAGCCCACTTAGCAAAGCTGGCTCCACTCGGAGCATCCTTCCCAAGCAACGACTCTGTGAAAGCCAGCATTCACCAGGCGAGGCCCAAACAGGGCGCCCTTAACCTACCGCCCTCTGGACACATCACTCTCTGTTAAACAGGCAGCCACTGCCAGATGCTCTGGCTAAAAATGGTCCCAGATGGTCAGCTGTCCCCTTCATAGAACACCCTGCCCTTCCCACATCTTAACACTTGCCTGCCAAAAGCCTGGCCAGGCCTTGGTGGGAACTTAACAAAAAAGATTAGAAGCAGGGTCTCAGGTTAGAAGGCACCTTGAAGACAGTCTGCTCAACAGCTGCACAGTGCTGGAACCCACACAACTACATCCCTGCTGGCCACTCAGGTGCAGGGGTCCTGAACCTGATGCCTGGCGAGGAAGCCCCTACAGCCGCAGAGGTCTTGTCACCGAGAACTCAGACAATCCAGTCAGGAAACACAGAGCTACTTAAATTGATACGGCATGTCCACTATCCCCAAATAATATTCTACTTGATGCGTTTAATGTGATTTTACAGGCCTGGAGAGGTGGTCACTACCATGCTTGCCTCACAAACATGAGGATCTCCATTTGGATCCAGTAGCACATACATAAAAGCACAACCTATGTAATCCCAGCACTGGGAAGGCAGAGACAGGAGGTCCCTGGGGCTTGCTGGGCTCTTGGTTTATCTAGATTGGTGAGCTCCAAGTTCAGTGAGGGATTTGTTCCCAAAGTAAGGTAGAGAGCAAAAGGAAGACAGCTGACATCGACCTCTAGCTTCCACACACGTGTGTATGTATACATGAGTAAACACGTACACGTCCCCACACAAAAATGATTTTAAATGGAGCTACTTCAAATGGCATACATAACATGTTACAGCAAAAACAGTATGTATATATGATTGACTTTTAAACGTGTGTGTGCGTGCGTGCGTGTGTGTGTGTGTGTGTGTGTGTAGATGCACACACACCATGTGTCAGTACTACCCATTTTGTTTGGCACAGAATCTGCCATCACTGTCCCCTGCCCCACCCCCCACGGCCTGACACAACAGGCTAGCTGTCCCTGAGCTCCCGACAGTCTCCTGTCTCCCCTCTCCTCATAGGCACACGAGGATAACAGTCGTATGATACTGTGTCCAGCTTGTCATGGGTTCTGGGGCAAACGCAGGTCCCCACTCACTTTACCATGGGGCCATCCTCCCAGCCCCATGTAAATGATTTTTAAAACATAAGAAGAAATAATAGCTTATAGTTTTGAAAGCTGTTATTTGGAAAACAAACGAGTTCAAAGGAAAAAAATCAGTGGGCCTACCTCCTACCTCTCTGCCTCTCCAAAGGAATAAATTAAGAAGCACTTCTGTAATATGAGTTTTTTCCTTATTTACTCCATTCACAGATGTATGTGTAGGCTTCTCTAGGAAAAAATGTAAATGTTAACTAATGGGGGGGGGTGGCTCAGCAGTTAAGAGCACACACTGCTTTCCCAGAGGACCTGAGTTCTCTCTACCCACCCTGGGCAGCTCCCACCCACCTTCAGGAGAGCTGACACTCCTTCAGGCCTCTGAGGACTCCTGCAATCCCACACAAATACCCCTACACAGACACATCCATATGGTAAAAAAATAATAATAATAATCTTAACAAGACCTCAAAGAATTGCTTTTATCTACTGGTGGTTTTGTTTTGTTTTTCTGAGACAGGCTGCCCTTGAACTTGCCACATAGCTGAAAACGACCTTAAAGTCCTCATCCTCCTACCATCCCCTCCAGAGTGTTGGGATTGATTCCAGGTGTGCGCCACCGCCACCGTGTCCCACTCATCGCCGAAGTCTCAATGAAACATTTCTGAGTTTCTTGCATGAGCAGAGTTATCTTGTTATTTTATTTTCTAACCAATTATTCAGCTGCTTAAGATAAACTAGCTGGAGTGTATGCCCAAGAAGTATGTTGAAGAATATGTTTGTTTTTCCCATATATTTAAACTTCTTTAACAAGAAGAAAAATCAAAGTACTGAATTTGACAAACATTTTTACTTGTATATTTTTTGAAGATTTATTCACTTTATACATATGAGTGTTTTTCCTGCATGTATCTCTGTGTGCTATGTGTGTTCCTGGTGCCCTTGGAGGCCAAAAGTGGTTGTCAAATCCCCTGGGACTGGAGTTACAGATGGTTATGAGCTGTCACGTTGAGTGCTTGTGTCCACTGGAACAGCAGCAAGTGCTCTTAACTGCTGAGCCAGCCCGCTAGCCCCCAAAACTATTTTGGTTTATGTGTCGGCAGAAGCATCCATGGGTGAGTGCAGATGATGCCCTGGAGTGGCAGTTACAGGTGGGTGTGAGGTGCCATTCAGATGCAGGGGACCAGATTCTGGTCCTCTGCAGTAGTAGTACACGCTCTTAACCACTGGGCCATCTCCAGCCCCGAGCTCCAGCTTTTCATCAACTGGATACAAGCGAGTCCCCTCCCTCTCATCAACAATGATCTCACAGAAAGGGAGGGCACCCTGAGAAGCCACACGGAGACATAAACATGGAAGGCTCGGGGGCCCTGGAGGCTGAGCTAACATCATCGTAACCAGTGGATTAAGGATGCTCGACCTGGACCATATGTCACTGCTCATCATTTACAAGCTTCATGACAGAGATCGACAGTAAATTTATTTAACCGAATGCAGATTAAATTAAAAACCAAATAATAAGATTACAAGCAAAACACCATCTGGAAAGCTACGGCAAGGGACCATGGGATGGATTTCAGTGCTCCTACATCCAGGGACAGGTTCACAGCACATCCTATTGACCCAGGGATGGAAATGGTGATGACCCACAGTAGGACCACTGGGTCTTTCCCCCTTACACCGTCTCCAAAGGCTAATCTAAAAGGAAAAGCCACAGTGCTTCATGAACTCCTACTGTGTGCATAAGACACCACCACAGTCCAGTGGGTCTCTGTTGATCTCCCGGTGTGTCTGTCTCAGTCTCCGTGTCTCCCTCCATCCTTCCGTCTCTTTCTCTCTCATTACAGAGCTAGGGATTAAACCTAGGACTCTGTAAATGTTAGACTAGCACTCCACCACCGAGTTGTATACACAGCCCCAGTTTCATAATTTGTTAAACATGATTACTTTGTGGAGTTCTTTTCTCCCATAAAGAAAATAAGGACAAGCCAGTGTCTCTGAGAACACAGATGAAGCCAAAAACAGGGGTGCATGTTTTTTATCTCCAGCGCGTCTGAGACCGTGGAATAAATATTTATAGCCATCTGGGACAGAGGTAAGGGCATTATTATACACCGTAAGTTGTTTTATAACAGTACAACGATCAGCCAAATTCTAAGTTAAACATACTTACTGTTATCCAATCATTTTACAAAGTCTTCACTCTTTATTTTACATGTGTATGAAAAGACGGGTGGGCATCCACACATCAGCACACATGTGGAGGACAGAGGGTAATTTTTAGGTGTCACTTCCCTCCTTCCTCCCTGATGGGGGAGGGGGGATGACAACACTTAGGTCATCAGGCTTGCACAGCAAGTGCTTCTGCCCACTAAGCCATCTTCCTGGACCCTACAATCCTCTCCCACATCCATCCGATACCCATAACAACAGATCGGGCTCTCCCTGTATCCACAGAGACCTTTAAAGAGAGAAACTGACTCCAGAGTGGGAGGAAAGGAGAACTGTGTGTGTAAGGACAGAGACATCGGCTCTTTGTAGTCAAGTCAGTTCTCTTCCATCCAATAACCCTTTCCCCAGTCAGCCGCAGCAGGAGGATAAAGAATCTGCGCAATGCAGACACACTCACCCAAGCCACTGAGGGTATACAGCAGGTCACCGGTGTCCAGGAAAATAGGTCCATTCTCCTGCTGCCCTTCCTCTTTGTAAAACAGCTTGTAGCCCTGAATGGTGGCTGGGTCCTCGGTGTCCTGCAGCCACCTCACGGAGATGGTTGTACAGTTCAGGGGTTCCAAATGAAGCTCAGGGGACTTAGGGGCTAAAAGAGACAGCACTGTGTCAACAACCTACAGTTCACAGGAAGCCAGAGGGCAGCGCACACCCCGCAGCTTCAAGCCAATGTTACAAAGTCCAACCACCACACTTTTGACCTAGCAACAAGCCAGCAGGATGACTCAGTGGGGAAAGGAGCTTGCTGTCAAGTCTGATTAACTGAGTTCGACCCCCAGAGCCAACAAAGTGGAAGAGGAGACCAACTCCCACAGGCTCTCTGCTTTCCACACATGTGACTTCACCCGCGCGCACGCGTACGCCTACACACACACTACGTCTTTTGAACTAATGACTTAAACACACGACACTATTCAGACGGTCTCAGTTACTGTGCTCCTCCGGTACTCAGTCTGACTGGGACTCTTCAAGCCATGAAGGTTTTGCTAAGCAAACTAATGGTACACTTAGTGGCTCTCCCCACAAACGGGCAAACAGCAAAGTTTAATGAGATCCTTGGTTTATTTATGAAGCCAGGACTTGCACATGGCAAGCACTCTCCTAAGCACACTACAGCCCGCTCCTCTTTCTGCACTCTTTTACACGCCACACTGGCTTCACACTCAATAACCACAGTCAACGATGAACTTCTAATCCCCCCTACCTTCACCTCCCCCTAGTGCTGGGATTGTGGGACATCAGGCGTGAGCCACTAGACCTGGTTTAAGCAGTCCCAGGTGCTGAACCCAGGGCTTTGAGCATGTTAGGAAAAGACCCTACCAACCCAGCTGTGGCACCAGTCCCAAGGGAAGGTTTGGTTTTTCCAATTAAGTTCACAATCTGTGTAATATCTGCAAACCTGAAACAAAAAATTTTAAATGTAGGATGGAAAAAAATATGGGATGGAGACATGATTCAACAGTCAAGGATACAGCTTGCCCTTCCAGAGGGCCAGGGTTCAATTCCCAGCACCCACAAGGCAGCTCACGGCCATCTATTACCCAGCCCCAGGGATCTGAGGTCTTCTTTTGGCCTCTGTGAGCACTGCACACAGTGTACACAGACACGCATGGCAAAACACCCATACACAGAAAACAGAAAATAGGAATTTTAAAAATAAGGTATAGATAAACTATATGTAACTAAGAGTGGGAAATTCTAATTCTGAAGTAAACCACTCTTTCTCTTCCTGAAAAGTCCTTGGGAGGTGTTTACCTTTCACGCTCGTGGCTTTGGGTGTCCTGTGTGAGGTCCACACTGATGACTCTCCCAGCCCCATGCGGGTGGCAGCTGTAATCCGGACCAGATAGACACTGTCGGGCCTCAGGCCTTCCAGGAGGTGCTCGTGCACAGTCCCCGGGAGTTCCACAACTTGGATGGAATTCTCAGTGCTCAGACGGAAGGACAGTCGGTACAGTACCACTTGGCCCCGCCGGTACTTGGCCGGGATTGGCAGCCAGGAGACAAGAATGTCGGTGGGACTTCGGCTCGTCAAGCTAATTTCAGGAGGTCTTAGGGGCACTAGTGAAATGAGAAAATATGTTGTTCATAAAATCTACAATCGAGACACTACTCAGCACAGTTGTACTTATGGGATCCTTTGAATGGCAGCACACAATATGGTTACGGTGGAGACACTTCCGGTTGGAGTGGGTTCTCAGTGAAGCCAACTTCCGGCCAGAAGGAAGGAAACACAATGAGGGGGCCATCAAATATGGCCACCAGTTTGCTGTGGTTGTTAGGTGATTGCCCAAGATGAAGACGGGCATGTTTGCTAATCGTATAAAATGAGACAAATTCACAACTAAGTCTACCAAAATCCCTAGGAAGCAAAGGAGAGTGTGTCACAATTGAACAAGGACACCCAGGATCCAGAATTGTAACCGAGAACTTTTCAATATCTAAGAGTCACGTTAAAAATGAACATGAATTTTATTTGTTTTTTAAATTATTATATGTATTATGTGTTTGTGTGTGAGCCTGAGCGGGCCCTGATGTATGGCAGCGTCTCTCTTAACTGAAGGAGCTCATGAGACTGGTAGGGTATGCCAAATGCCAAGTGTGGAAAGTCCAAGCTTGGCAGATTCTCGAAAGCCCCTTATAGAAGTGAATTGCTGGGGAAGGAGACACTGACCAGCCTGTGCAGAGGGGGATTCTTACCTACAAACTCTCGCCTTATATTTAAAAAGCATGTGCTAACTTCTTCAAAGAGTTGAGTGTTTGCACGTATGTATGTTTGTGTACCCTACGCATGCATTGCACACAGAGTCAGGAGACAGCATCGGATCCCCTGGAACTGGAGTTACAGCCAATTTTGAAAAATGGAATCTTTAAGTGTCCTTTATCATGTTATGACAAAAACTGAGGGTGAGACTTGAGGGAGCAATTGGCCTGTGGCTTAACTTAACTGTTTTAATTTAGCCAAACAGATTAACTAACTGAAAGTGATCACTCTTGGAGACCCAGAACTGTGTTTTCTTACCATCTTCTAGAGTGTTCTGTGTCACATGGTCCGACATCTGGCTAGCTCCCATTGGCATGTACGCCACGATGTAGAAAGTGTAGCTGCTGGCAGGTTCTAGGTCATCGATGATGTAATGAGTTGTGTCATTTCCAAGGACCACCTGATACTCCTCATTATTTAAACCTAGAGCAAAGTATCCATGGTTAAAAATGACAACTACTCAGCCAGGCAATGGCAGCCCACACCTTTAATCCCAGCACTCAGAAGGCAGAGGCAGACAGATCTCTGTGACATGAAGAGCAGCCTGGTCTACAGAGTGAGTTCCAGGACAGCCAGAGCTACACAGAGAAACCCTGTTTCGAAAAACCAAAACAAACAAGACAAATATTCAACATAAAATTGACAAGGCCATTTCCCTCATGGTTATCTCTGTTGCCGTCTAAGTACCTGCACACAAAAACCTTCAGTGCACAGAAAGGTCTTTATTGCCTAAATGTAACCAAGTTCTTTGTCTACAAACTATTGGTTGGAGCGTTTGCTGAAAAGATTCCATCTTCTCTAGGGTCATTTACCATCTAGTCAAAACAGGAGGGGCTGTAAGGAGCAGAGGGCGAGGAGAGCGCCGGCACCACTACAAGCAAATGTCCTCGCTTACACTCGGGCTTTCTGCTGAACATAAACAGAGAGACGGTGGGAGTGCACAGATTCTGCTCTTTACAAAAACAAACTGAACTAAAAATCGGTCTGCAAAGGCTCTCTCTCATTCTGTCCCTAGAGAACACATACATGGACCAACACGGTCTCTCTTATTTTTAATACTGAAAGCGAAATGGAAGAGTGTTCCACAGTGAACGCTCAGTTTTTTTTTTTTAAAGAGGGAAACAAACTCTCAGGGATTCTGAGTAAATCTGCAAGGCAAGGTGCAGAAGGAGATCTGTCTGTGTGGGCTTAATCCCCGTGGCGCAGACCTGGCAAAGGGAGGCACAGTGCCGCCAGCCACCGCGTGCACGACAGTCCACCAGTAGGGCTTGTCAACTCTATCAAACCGTTCCCAGCACTGGCCCCCTTCTCCCTGCCCTGGATTTATAAACAAAACAGAAGGCACATTCCAGCACTGAGTTTTCCCACATTTCTGAATTAACTTCATAGCATTTTAATTAGACAAGATTAGAGGCGTTTCACAACACACCAGCTAATGGCTCGTTAATTAGGAACTGCATAGTACAATTTCTGACCTACTAAACAAAGTCCTTGAGTTCAAATTAAAAGGCCTGTTCTGCTCCTGAATAGAATGCTGAGCACCACGCAGGGGCTCTAATGAAGCCGGCACAATAGTGAACAAGAGTGGGCCCGCCAAAGCCAGCATTCCTCTCGCCTTCCTGAGTCAGCGGAGAGAATGAACACACTCCAGCATGCCCTTACCGGAACATTCTTCTAGCTACCAGGACCCTTGATTTATATTCTAAATACCCTTTTCAAAACACTGCTTCAAAGTGTTAAAAGCAAACAGTGAAGCACCTGTTGGCGCAGACAGCGTGAGGCTAGCACCATTCTTTCAGTGTTCACCCTGGTCCTCCATAACGCAAGCTGCTTAAGCCAGACCAACTGCTCCTGTATAAAACTACATACAGAGAATGGGAATCGCAGAATTTCTGGGTGATGGTGGCACTTCCTTTTAATTCCTGCAATCAGGAAGCAGAGGCAGGCAGATCGCTAGGAGTTCGAGGCCAGCCTAGTCTACAGAGTGAGTTCCAGAAGTTCCTGTCATGGGAAATCCCCCAAAAGAGAGAGAGAGAGAGAGAGAGAGACACACACATAGAGAGACAGAGAGAGAAACACACACACACAGAGACAGAGAGAGACACACACAGACAGAGAAACAGAGAGACACACACAGAGTCAGAGAGACAGAGAGAGAGAGACACACACACAGAGACAGAGAGACAGAGACTTTTCTGTGGGGCTGCTTTGTGGATTACTCATGCTCCTGTCAGTAACTCATCACCCATGTTCTCTAAGTCATCCCAAAAATCTCACTGGTGGAACAGATCTTTGATTTTGCTATTGAGACCTTAGAAGGAGACAAGAGTTGATGTTATATAGTTCCCTTGGGTGAAAATTCTCTTAACCATTGTGTAAGCTGTTACTCATTCTGAAGACAAATATTTTGTTTGCTTTGGTTGAGCTGAGATATGGGATCACGTAGACCATGCCGGCCTCAAATTTGCTATGTTGTGGAGGATGACCTTGAACTTCTGATTTGCCTGCCTCTACCCCCAAGTGTTTGGGTCACGGGCATGAGCCACCACATGGGTTACTGTGGTTCTGGGGATCAAACCCAGGGCCTCATGCATGCCAGGCAAGCACTTCCACCAAGTGAGTCACGTCTCTCACCGCTGGAAACAAACCCATGACAGCCAACAGCGCTGGGTGAAGGCTGTCAAGCCACCTACCTTCCGCTTTCATGTAGTGCACGGAGTAGGCGATGACCTTGTCAGAGTTGTACAGCGGCCTCTCCCAAGCTAGGAGGATGGCGGAGCTCGACATGGTTTCAGCATGAACATTGTATGGAGCGCTGGGCCTATCCTCCGACATGACCACGGTCAGTCTGGCTCGAGACAGAGCAGACCCTTGGCTGTTTTCGGCCATGCACTGATAAAAAGCATCATCTTCAGGGATAATCTGGTTAATCACCAATTTGCTGAGGAAAGAAAAAAATTTATATCCATAAGAAAAAAATTCTTAGGAATAACATTAAAAAGCTATTCTTAAATGTACTCTCACCTTATATGAAAACACACTAAGAACAACCAGTTTTAATTAAAAATAATCTACATTAATTACTTAAAATTACTGATTTATATTCTCAGTCCTCATCAGGATTTATGATAGCCAAATTCTCTTTGCTTTAGTCACTTTTTTTAAAAATGGTGTTTGGTAAGAAAGCATATTACTCCATTCTATGGTCTGTACTTTATTCATACTGCACACATAAAGTTCAGGCCAACAAAAAAATGTAAGGTTTGGTTCAACTAAATGAGAATGTCACAAGAATAAAAATCACGCGCGCACGCGCGCACACACGTTATGGGATATCTGTACACTGTATGAAGGTGTATTGCTGTGATTGTGTGACTGGTGTAATAAAATGCTGAACAGCCAATAGCTAGGCAGGAGAGGATAGACTGAATTTCTAGACAGAGAGAACTCTGGTTAGGTGCAGAGGAAGTATGGAAATGAGGTAATGAACTCATTCCTGGAAGAAAGTAGATTAAAAGCTATGGGTAAGTTTAAGTTATAAGAACCAGTTAGGAAAAAGCCCAAGCTAAGGCCGAGCTTTAACAATGAATAAGTTTCCACGTCATTATTTGTTGGCTGGTGGTCCCAACAAGTACTACTACTACTACTACTACTACTACTACTACTACTACTACTACTACTACACACACATATATATGCATATGTTTATATATATATAATTTTTAAAAATAATTTATTTTATTTCATTTATATTAGTGTTTTGTTTGCATGTATATCTGTGTTAGGGTGTCATGTCCCCTGGATCTGGAAGAGCAGTCAGTGCTCTTAACCACTGAGCCATCTCTCCAGCTCCTATATATATAATTATTTTAGATAGGGTCTCACTAGCTGTTTTGTAATTCAGTATGTAGACCAGGCTGGCCTCAAATTCTGAGAGATCTTCCTGCCTCTGTCTCCCAAATGCTGGGACTAAAGCAAAGTACCACATGACCAGCCAAGTTTCATTCTCAAAGTCACTAAGTTTGAACTCTAGAGGGATTATTAGGAAGTAACTTCCTTCTTACGTTTTTCATTTGACTAGAGAAGGCGCTAAAGCACCAGAGTCCACGTTGCTGTCATGACTTAGCTCGTGGCCTACCAGGCTAGAACTGCCATCTGGGGGACTGCTTGGCATACAATCCATTATCACACATCACTTTTGATCCATGAGTAAAATACCGAAGGACAGACAGCACACTAATGCTATAAACCTCAGTTTCTTACATTTAGTGTTACCTGGCTAGATTACATGGCGGTCTGACGCTACTGTAACCATTTCATGCAAAAACTAACAGAGGGATTGTTTTATTTGAACGTAGCATCGCTTACCTGTTGTACATTTTAATCCTGCCGTTTGAATGTATCCTCCTCCCATTTTTCAACCAAGACATTTTGGGTGAGGGAGTTCCCTCTGCCTGACACACAAACCGTGCAGTGCCAGCTCGTGGTCTTGTTAAACTTTCAGGCCATTCAACGAATGAAGGAGGAGCTGTTTTAAAAGGAAAAAAAATATGTTCCATAGCTTCAACAGGAATGACAAGGAAGAATGAAAGACGATACAAATGTGAGGCGAGCCCCATGTGTAAAGATGTCTGGGAGTCACTCCTACAGCCAGCCAGGTTGTGATGGTAGCTTTCCTTGTCAACTTGACACAGCCTAGAAGCATCTGGGAACTAAGTCTTGGGGAGGGACTGTCTACATTGGGTGGTCCTGTGGGCGTGTCTGTGGAGGGCTGTCTCACTGATCTGGGAAGACACAGTCCAGTGTAGGCGGCACCATTCCCTAGGCAGGGACTTCTGACCTGCATAGAGTGGGGGAAATCAAGGTAAACACAAGCAGACAAGCAGGCCTGCGCCCATTTCACTCTCCTCCTGACTCTGACTGGGATGTGACTAGCTATCAGACGCTCCTTTGACTTCCCCACGACGACGACGACGGACTGGAAGTAACTACAAGTTAAAATCCACCCTTATTTTATCACAGCAATAGAAAGAGAGCAAGGACAGCGCTTCTCTCCAATGCTCAACGCCTGCTTTCCTCCACTGAAACCACCCGTGAACACGATGACAATACCCACAACCCGTCTTAGCCACGCCCAATGAGAGGACACTTGTGAACACAGTCATCAGGAGATTGAGTTTAGATCACTAACTGTGCAGACATGGGGGTTGCTGACAAGGAGAAGGGAAGCTTCAGTGAGAAGGCACATGGAAGCTATGCACACAAACATGGTGACTTCACAACATGATTCTAGAGATGTATTTTAACACAGGCCTGTTGGGGAAGTCCTGTGTATATGTCAATAAAGCACTGTTGGCCAATAGGGAAGCAAGATAAGTGGGACTAGGAGTCCAGGAGGACTCTGGGTAGGAGAAACACAGGGAGTCAAGATGTAACCGCCATAGGGGTAAGAAGCCTGGAAACTTTTCTCCAGTAAGAGAAATACTTAGATTAACAATTATGGGGTAAATACTTAAGTCAGAGATAGCCAGTAAGAAACAAGCAAGGCCAACAGCTTCATAATTAATACAGCGTCTTGTGTGTTATTTGACGACTACAACATGGCAGAGCCCAGGCGACTGGTTGGGGAAAAAAAAATCAAAGCAGCAGACAAGAAAAAGGCTTCTCTCTACACAGGCCCACCCCTCCAAAACTCACTGCTGGCTTTAACGATACTTATCAACCTCCCCATCACTGCTGCCAAACATGGAGTCAAAAGACAGTTAAGGACGGCTTGAGGATGCCTCAGTGATTAAGAGCACTTATTGCTCTTACTGAGAACCCAAGTTCTTTCCCAGAACCCACATTGGACAGCTCACAACTTCCTGTAACTCCAGCTCTAGGGACTATGGTGCCCTCTTCTGGCATCTTTGGGCACTGCACACACATACATATACCTATACATACACATACTTAAAAACAAAACCTTAAAAAAGAAAACCATGAAAGAAATTAAAATGACAAATGTTGAAATATGAGCTCCTGATTATAGAAAGAATGCATACCTAATACAGTTAAAGTTGCCATAGCAACTGTGAAGTTGCGAGTGCCAGGGGTTGTGGCCCGACAAACATACACTCCAGTATGCTGCAGCTTGACATCTGATATTATGAGGTTGCCATTTCCAAGTACCCGAGTATTGAAGACATCAATGGACTTGTGATCTATTTCAGAGAGAGAACATAGAAGGTGAAACAACACACTTCATCCCAAATTATGCCAAGTGATCACTATAGGTGAAATCAATCATTACAAAGTAGCAATTTCTCCAGAGCTTTCCTTACATTGCAAACCTAAAAAGAAGTCATTCAGATGTTAACAGCCAAATGTGTTTTATCTAAAAACACACACATTTTTTTTATCAGTTGCACTAAAAGAATATATTTCAAGGGAAGGACTCCCTTGCCTCCCACCCCAGTAAGGAGGACCACTTACCAAGCCGGCTCCAGGAAATGATGGGTTTGGGACAGCCTGTGGCCATGCACTCTAGCACAGCTGTCTGATGCAGCGACACAGTTACATTCTGTGGACCGGCTATGATGGTCGGCAGGTAGAAGGGCCTCGACTCATTAGCTTTAGGCAGGAAAAGAACAGATTACATAAATCACAAGAAACATTGAAACATCAGTTCTTACCCATTTCTTTCATTTATCCTTTCATCTTTTTGAGACGGGATCTCATGTAGCCTAGGCTAGCCTCCAGTTCCCTGTGTACTCAAGGATGACCTGCAACTCCTGGTGTGTACTCTGTGAGAGGTGGGTGCCCCCCCACCCAGTTTACCTTTGCTTCCCATTCATTTCCCTCCATCTCGCAGTCCCTTCCTGCCTTCCTTCCTCTGTGAGTGTGTGTGTGTGTGTGAGTGTGAGTGTGTGTGTGTGGTGTGTGGTATGGTGTGTTTGGGTGGGATGTGTATGCACAGGTACAGAGGCAGAGGAGGACCTCGGGTACCTGTTTTATCACTCTGCCCTTTATTCCTGTAAAGCAGGGTCTCTCACTGAACCTGGGGTTAGGCCAGCAGCCACCAGGCTACCATGGTCTTCCTGTCTCTAGTCCTGTACTGGGGTTACAGGCACACAGCTTTCATGTGGGTGCAGGAACTCGGGGTCTCATATTTGTACAAGTGTTCTTATGAAGCCGTCTCCCCAGTCCCTCATTTTTTCTTCATTTCTTTTTCTTCTTTTTTTTTTTTTTTTTTTTTGGTTTTTACAAGACAGGGTTTCTCTGTAATGTTTCGGGGCTATCGGTCCAGCCCGGCCTCAAACTCACAGAGATCCGCCTGCCTCTGCCTCCCGAGTGCTGGGATTAAAGGCGTGCGCCACCACCGCCCAGCTTCATTTCTTTTTCTTAAATAAGATTTTTTTAAGTGCTACTGAATTCTAACTGTTTTTTGTTTGTTTTTGTTTTTGCTTTTTGTTTCTTTTGAGACAGGGTTTCTGTGTATTGCTTTGGAGCCTGTTCTGGAACTCGCTCTGTAGACCAGGCTGGGCTCGAAGTCACAGAGATCCCCTGCCTCTGCCTCCCCAGTACTGGGATTAAAGGCATGTATCACCAACGCCAGGCGAGGTCTAACTCTTGTGATATATATTTCACCCATCTGATGTTTAACTTAATGGTTTTTAGAACTTTCAGTTAAGTAGCTATTACAATTAATTCTGGAATATTTTCATTATTCCCCCGTTGTGTAGTAATTTCCCCACAGATTGAAACATTCCATCCTGCAGAGAAGCTCATTACCACAGAAAGAACTCAAAATAGTAGCTTAGGAAGTCCCTGAAACTGACCAGACTCACTCTGCCACCTCAACCCAAGAGTATAAACAGTGAAGACTACAGAGAGTCACTCTCAGAGAAGCCGAGATACAAAGGAGACAAGCCCAGCAAATGGTAGAAGCAGATCAGGAAGCTGCCTGGAAAACACAGTTAGTGAGTCCCTTGGAAAGGCCATTCTCTAATCTGTTGAGTTACCTGCAGGCTGAGTGCACTCCAGGTTCCCAGCTTTGTGAGCTGTCACTCATGCTGGGGTGGGCTTTGGTGATGCAGCTGACTTATTTCTGCTCCCCTAAGTAACCCCTCACCCATATTCCTGTAAGTAACCCCAATAAACCTCATTGGTTCACCCAGTTAGACTTTGGTGGTATCTATACTTTGGTCTGTATTGAAATCCCTAACTGGGGTGCATGTGTCTCCCCAGGAAAAGTCTGTTACATGACACCCCCAAAATTCATATCCACTAGCAGTTAGTTCTTAAACTGAAGAATATTATATTAGAAATAAACATCTTTATTGGCAATAGACATTGCCTTTTTGTTCCTGTCTGCATTTTATGCTTTTAAAAACAATAAATGAAAAAAATTATAGCACAATCGTTCAACGTTTCTCAAGGAGGTTGATGCAGAAAACACATTTGCTTGGGAAAGATTTGCTTAGTAAAAGGCTATGTTCTAAATAGATTGCAGTCCAGGCACGGTGGCACACACCTGTAAACCCAGCCCTGGGGGAGGCAGAAGTCAAGGGGTTACAAGATCAAGGACAGGATGGGGCACAGAGAATGTTTCTGTCTGAAAACACCAAACCTAAAGCAACCCTATTACAATAGATTAAATGCCACCAAAATTCTGACGGACAGAATGCTACCACAGTCAGGAGGAAAGCAGATGGGACAACCAAACATCTCACAAAGCCCTTAAGAATGGAACCTGGGCCCGGCGGTGGTGGAGCATGCCTTTAATCCCAGCACTTGGGAGCAGAGGCAGGGGATCTCTGTGAGTTCGAGACCAAGCCTGGTCTACCGAGTGAGTTCCAGGACAGCCTCCAAAACAATACAGAGAAACCCTGTCTAGAAAAAAACCAAAAAAATAAATAAATAAATAAGAATGGAACCTGGAATGACGGTCAGGGAGGCCTCCATGCTCTTCCGCTTATGAGCTGTAGTCGACGCAACACAGCGGTAATTCCCAGCATCCTCCGGGCCAACATCATAGATCTGAAGCACTCCTGAGGGCAGGGCCGTCACCCTGTTGAGACAAGAAATGTAACTGAACTTTCTGTGTTCTACTACACATACCTGCTGACAGTAATTAACACATTCAACCCTTTTAACCACTGTAGAAACAATCCTGTAAAGACCTTTAAACATATTAGCCTCAGCTGGGGTGTAGCAGAGATCCAGCCTGGCACCCTGGAGGCCCTGGGTATGATTCCCAATCCTGAAAAACAACACCAGTGAAAACATAGCCTGACTCTATTATTTCTCTTTGGGTCATGACAGGTCTCTGAGATGTGAATAACTCTGCAGTACATAGTTTGTAAAATCTATTGCTCTCATGTTACAAACAGGGTCTTGTTAACATTCTTGTGTCGATTTAGCTGATAATGGCTCAGACGTTTGCATGATTTATTCTCAAAATCCTGACTTTTTTTTAAACGCCACTAAGAGCTATCTATTCTGCACAACCCAGTTTCTAAAACAGGGTCACAACCCCACATAAAGTCACAAAACCTGAATGCAGGGCAGTCATAAAAAATTGGCAAGAGTAGACGGTATCTATATGTGCAACAACTCAATTTGGGGTAAAATACGCAACGGAGCTGAGCTGTTTCTGGTGAGCTGGCCCGTGCTGTAGCATGTGATTCCCACTTCACGCTGTGGATACCGTCACACCACACACTGTGGACACTGTCACACACACACTGTGGATACTGTCACACACACACTGTGGATACTGTCACACACACACTGTGGATACTGTCACACACACACTGTGGACACTGTCACACCACACACTGTGGACACTGTCACACACACACTGTGGATACTGTCACACACACAGTCACACCACACATGTGGACACCGTCACACCACACACTGTGGACACTGTCACACACACACTGTGGATACTGTCACACACACACTGTCACACACACACTGTGGACACTGTCACACCACACACTGTCATCACACCACACACTGTCACACACACACTGTCATCACACCACACACTGTCACACCATACACTGTCACACACAACACTGTCACACCACACACTGTCACACACACACTGTCATCACACCACACACTGTCACACCACACAGTCACACACACACTGTCACACCACACACTGTCACACACACACTGTCACACCACACACTGTCACACCACACACTGTGGACACTATCACACCACACAATGTGGACACTGTCACACACACACTGTGGACACTGTCGTCACACCATACAGCACCAACGAATGCTGTCGGAAAAGCTCAGATTCAAGACACAAAGTTTTCTGCCCTTAATGAAACATAATTGCCTTATTATGGAAAATAAATACTTTCAGTAATTTGACAGCATATAAGTATCAAGTTAGTATATCTTTGGATTTGCACAGTGCTAGGGTTTCCCTGTCCTGGAACTATCTCTTGTAGACCTGGGCTGGTCTTGAACTCAAGTGCTGGGATTAAAGGCATGGGCCACCACCGCCCAGCTTTAGGACGCTTACTCTTAATATTAGTGTTGTTGAGTTGCTGACTGAAGTCCAATAAAACATACTCAGTGTTTTGCAGCTCATCAGTTTTGTCTGGTTTTTTTTTTTTAGAGTATGAGCGTTTTGTCTGCCCACATGTCTGTGCACCACTAACGTGCAGTGCCAGAAGACGCCAGAAGGGGTGTAGGACCCCTGGAACTGGAGTTACAGACAGTTGTGAGCTACCATGTGGATGCTGGCAACTGAACCCTCTGGAAGAGCAGTCAGTGTTCTTAACCACAGACCCATCTCTCCAGCTCCATTATATTTCTCAATACTAAGAATACTGCTTCAGATAAATACACTGTGCAAAATAGCAGAAGTATATTCAGGGCCACCTCAGAAATTGTTACATTCTATCTTAATCCAAAGCCAAAGTTCAGTTCACATTTTTGTTTTGCCTCATTTTTTTCATTTTCGCTTGTTTGTTTTTGTTATTTAATTGGGGGTGGGTTTTTGTTTGTTTGTTTGTTTTCAGACAGGATTTCTCTGTGTAGCCCTGGCTGTCCTAGAACTCACTCTGAAGACCAGGCTGGCCTTCAACTCACAGAGATCCACTTGCTTCTGCCTCCTAAGTGCTGGAATTAAAGACATGCAGACTAGCCAGGGATATACAAAGAAACCCTGTCTCAAAAAACAAAAACAAATACAAAGGAACACAAAAATGGTTTAAGATATACTTTTGTTTGTTTGGTTGGTTTTTTGGTTTTTGTTTTGAGACAGGGTTTCCCTGTATAGCCCTGACTGTCCTAGAACTCACTCTGTAGACCAGGCAGGCCTTGAACTCAGAGATCCATCTCCCTCTGCCTCCTGAGTGCTGGGATTAAAGGCACGCATCACCACCACCCAACCTAAATTTTTTCCTTTTTTTTAAAGATTTATTTATTTATTATGTGTACAGTGTTCTATATGCATGTATCCCTGCGGACCAGAAGAGGGCACCAGATCTCATTACAGATGGTTGTGAGCTATCACATGGTTGTTGGTAATTGAACTCAGGACCTCTGGAAGAGCAGCCAGTGCTCTTAACCTCTGAGTCACTAAAATATTCTTGAATTAGAGTTTTTCTTTTTGTTCACCAAAACACTTCAAACATTTTACCACCTCAGCGTTCTTTCATTTTAGTAAATGATTTTTGTATACTTCAGAGCAGAGCAGGAATCAATTTTTTTAAAATGTTCATTTTGTGTGTATTACATGTCCGCAATGCTGGGAGGAGATCAGGAGAAGTACCGACTCCCCTGAAACTAGAGTTACAGGGAGTTGTGAGCTTCAGTGTGGGTGCTGGCCACTGAACCTGTAACCTCTGCAAAAGCAGCAAATGCTTTAACCACTGATCTATCTCTCCAGTCCCCATGATGGGACTCTTAATCCAAGTTTGAAATGTCTAGAAAAATCAATTATTGCCACACCAAATGAAAAGTAATTCCATCGTGTTTACCCGTCAGAAGCTTCGTATGAAGTCTCCATCATTAGGTGCCACATTCAAATAAACATGCTACATTTACCTGTCCATGTTGATAGGCATAGCTGTCCTGTTAAACTCCCATGTTATGACTGCAGGGGGGTTTGATGAAATCTTGCAAGAAAATCTAGCCACTCCCCCTTCGTGGACTTCAGTAGAAACTGGATGGACTTCAAACGCGGAAATAGCTGTGACAAAATTGGACAAATTTAGAATAAGCACATAGCAGCACATTCAGAAATAGCACTATGTAGATCTGAACTCCTGCTCAGGTCAATGTAATTTAAGTCATTCAAAGATGATTTCATGAATAATTTGAAAAGGGGGGGCACAACTTGGGGAGTCTTTCCTAGAGTTTAAAACTCTAAACATAGTCTTAGGAAACTATCCTCTAAAGAGAAATAATTTTAAAGAAAAATAATTATTCAAAACAGTTACACACAGTACAAGCCAATTCTACCGAGATCTGAGGGAAGGGGAAATGAAACGAATTAGGGCTGGAGAGATGGCTCAGAAGTTAAGTGCAAGTATTGCTCTTGCAGAGGACCCGAGTTTGATTCCCAGAACCCACACCAGGCAGCTTATGACTGCTTGTAACTCTAGCTATAGCATGAGTGTGCACACACACACAATTAAAAATAAAATATTTTCTCAGCTACAATAAAGATAAACTATCCAGGTAAAAACTATGTCTGTGAGCTGGCTCTTGAAGAATCCACTGTGTAATTTGAGGCAATCGAGGCGACACAGCACAAAGCTCAGAGGGAGAGCATGGCGCTCGCAGGATGAGGAAACTGGACAATAACACGGGACATTTCAGATTTGCCCACAATGCCTCGGGATGAACTGAAAAGAGGCATCTCGAAAGTCTGGTGGGCTAGGGCTGGAGACCCGCAGACCCAGGGTACCACACAACAGCCGGCTCCTGAGGGATGGCTCGGGTGGAGGCGGGATAGGTAACTGAGTGGGGAACAGAAGGCCTCGGAGAAGCAAAAGGCCGTTTTCCGGCTCATGCATCTCCAAAGTGGAGATAAATCTTGAAGTGTTGATGTTTCCAGAGCCCATTCCTCTTCCCTGTACTAAGCAGGCAGCCACAGGGCCACCCCAGTGTCCACAGTCCCTACTGTTGAAGGAGACCAGACATCGGGAAGAACAGAGAGTCCCTTCCCCAGTGTCTACAGTCCTGAGTGAAGGAGACCAGACATCAGGCGGAGCCAAGTGTCCCTCCCCTCAGAAAAGCCTTCCAAGGCACAAAGACAGAGACCTAAGCATAGTTTAACTCCCTTCCTGAGCATCCAGTTAAAAATGCTCTCACAGTTTATCGGCAGAGACAGAAACTGAAAGAAAATTATGAAAAAGTGGAGGACAGACTGATTCTCCATTAGATCGGAAAGGGCAGAAGGTCACAAAAGGCTGCCAAATTCTGCCTTGGGTTCAGCTTTAGTTTTCTGTAGACAGATTACTGACCTTTAAAGGGTTATAGCAGTCAAAATATTCCCAGAGGGATTTACTTTCAAACCACTGAAGAGAGGTAAAGTCATACTTGTCTGTGTCAGTAACAAGTATTTCCATTCAGACTGAGGATGTCAGTAGATCTCAGAGGATAAACCATTTTCAAAATACTCATCATTGGCCTTTCTAGTTTGCTTTTCTCTCGAGTGTAGAAGTTTTCTAAAAACTACAAGCTGGGAAGTACTGCCAACAGACCCAATCAATGCAGAAGCATTGATTATTGTTTTATGGTTGTGTAAAGGGATTTACACAACCATAAAACAATACCAGGACTGGAGAGATGGAGCACTGGCTGCTCTTCCAGAGGACCTGGGTTCAATTCCCAGCACCCACATGACAGCTCACACCTGTCTGTAACTCTAGTTCCAGAGCTTCCAACACCCTCACACAGACATACGCGGGTAAACATGATGCACATAAAATAAAAATAAATTAAAAAAGAAAACATAGCTCCATTTCTTATTAATGTAAGTAACACATTGATATAATTATTTCCAAAAGGTAAAAGTGAATGAAATGAATATTATTTTAATAGCTTATTTATTTTTATTTTATGTGCATTGATGTTTTGTCTGTGTGAGGTTGCCAGATCTTGGAACTGGAGTTACAGACAGCTATGAGCTGCCATGTGGGTGCTGGGAATTGAACTCTGGCCCTCTGGAACCATCTCTCCAGCCCTGGAATGAATATTATTTTTGGTTATGTTCTTACAAAACTTTTATTTCTGTGTATATGTGTACTTGCCCACATGTACTTGTCTGCGCTCCATATACATGCAGTAGCCTGGTAGGCCTGAAGAGGGCATCAGTTCTCCTCAAGCTGGAGTTACAGACGGTTGATATGGGCATTGGAAGCTCAACGTCTTTAATTCCAGCACCCGGGAGGCAGAAGCAGGTAGATGTTTGTGAGTTCAAGGTCAGCCTGGTCTACACAGTGAGGTCCAGGCCCGCTATGGCTACACATGTAAGACAGACAAAACAACAAAACAAACAAACAAACAAAACCCAAAACAAAACCAACTGGTTGTTTGAAAGAAAAGGAAGTGGTACTATTTGGAGGTATGACCTTGTTAGAATAGGTGTGGTCTTGTTGGAGGCAGTGTGTCACTGTGGAGGTGGGCTCTGAGGTCTCATATATGCTCAAGTCGTACCCAGTGTCTCTGACTACTTCCTGTTGCCTACAGTCAAGATGCAGAACACTCAACCACTACCCCAGCACCGCATCTGCCTGCACACCACCATGCGGCACCATGGTAATAATGGACTGAACCTCCAGAAATGTAAGCCACCACAATTGGTCCTTTGTAAACGTTACCATAGTCATGGCGTCTCATTACAGCAATAGAAACCCTAAAGACAGAGGTCGTGTGACATTGAAGTTTTTGGGTCCCTCAAAAGTTTTAAGAGTATAAGAAATGATGCTAAAAGTGAGAGAGAGTGTTGCAGTAGTGGAGCACGCCTTTAATTCCAGCACTCGGGAGGCAGAGGCAGGCAGATCTCTGTAAGTTCAAGGCCAGCATGGTCTACAAAGCTACACAGAGAAACCCTATCTCAAAAAGCAAAACATAAGGAAAAGAACTCATTATTTATTTTGTGTGTACTGGGGGAGGGCACGCACACATGTGCTACAGAATGATTATGACGATCACAGGGAAACTAGTGGGAGCTGGTTTTCTCCTTCTACGGTGTGGGTTCCAGGAATCAAACTCGGGTTTCTAAGGCTTGGCAGCAAGCACCTTTCTCACCGGCCCAACTTTTCAGTTTGATGGCTTCTGTAGTTACTTTCTTTTTTTTTTTTTTTTTTTCCTTTTTGATTTTTCGAGACAGGGTTTCTCTGTGGCTTTGGAAGCTGTCCTGGAGCTCACTTTGTAGACCAGCCCGGCCTCTGCCTCCCGAGTACTGGGATTAAAGGCGTGCGCCACCAACGCCAGGCTTGTAGTTACTTTCTAGGACACTTCTCTACAAACACGTTAATTCTAGATTGACCTTAGACCTCCACTGCTATTCATCTACTAAACACCTAGAAGGCTAAGTCTTCCTGGGAAAGAAGACTGGGAGATGGCTGGTAAGGTGTTTGCATGTATCCTTCTACAGTAAAAGGATGTAATGGTTATACAGTCAACAGGCTAGCTCTGGGAGGTGGGAAATACAATTTGGTATCAATTACGTCAAAACCAAGCTCTATTTAAACTGTCACTTTTAAATTATATAAAGGCATATTTAACAGCTCTGGGCACTGAAGCCACGTCTCTAAGAAAAAAAAAAATGTCACCACTGACTGAGCCATGACCCAGTCTATAAGACTTTCATTAATTGCTATGGTTTGGATATAAAATGCCCCCTCCCACCAAAAAAATGCATCTCTGCTCTTAAAAATAGTCTGTAAAATTAGGATGCAAAGGAGCCAATTTCTGTGAATCCCACATTAACATCAACTCTGCTGTTCACACGACCACATGACTCATCTATGCAGTGTCAAGACATGTGGATCAGCTCTGTATTGTACAACAGCAGTCTAGATTAACTGACTCCTAACTGGAAAAATATTTTAATCCTATTCATTTCAGAAAACTTTTAGATGAAAGTGATCCCTCCTAAGTTTACCGATTCATTCAATAAATATTTATCTGGTGTCTGGTGCACTCTAGGTGGCCATAATTCAGTGAACGACAGAGCTAGGAGGGCTCCATTCAGGAGCCTAAGAGTAGAAAGAGGTATTTAACTAAATTGCTGTGTGAGGTGGTAGCTCAAACTGCAGAAAGTGCGGGAAGGTAGTATATAGAACGCTACAATACAGGTCTCAAGCCTTTTATCACATAATAGCTTAACATACGTTTTGTTGCTAGTCCTGTGCTGTGAGTTTATTTAATTCCCACAGCTGTGTCACCAAAATATTTAGTGGAAGAAACTGAGGTACGGGAAACGAAGCATCTGACTGAAGGGATTCAAGCTGTTGAGAGGTGGGCACTGAGGTCTGAAGCCTGGTGGCAGTTACCGAGACTGAAATCTCTGGTAAGCCTGGACATTCAAAGTTGTTGTTGTTGTTGTTGTTTAATTTAAATTAGAAACAAGCTCCACATATCAATCCCAGATCCCTCTCCCTCCCCTCCTCCCCCACTCCCCCCACCAGACTCCCCAGCCCCCCCACCCAATCCCCACTCTGTTGCCCAGGAAAAGTGAGGCCCTCCATGGAGGATCCCCAGAGTCTGTCATTTCGTTCAGGACAAGGCCTAGGCCCTCCCCCAAGAGTCCAGGCTGAGAGAGCCTCCCTCACTGTGGGATGGAAAACCAAAGTCCATTTGTGTGCCAAGGATAAATACTGATCTACAGCCCAAGGCCCCATAGATTACCTAGACCTCCTCACTGACACCCACATTCAGAGGGTCTGGATCAGTCCCATGCTGACCTCTCAGCCATCAGTCTGGGGTCCAAGAGCTCCCCCTTGTTCAGGTCAGCTGTTTCTGTGGGTTAAACCATCCCAGTCTTGACCCCTTTACTCATCAGTCCTCCCTCTCTGTCACTGGGTTCCAGGAGTTAGGTTGACATCCAAGTTTTTAGGGAAGACATGAACAGAGTCCCTACCTCAGAGCAGCTCTACTCAGAACAAGCCAAACTACACTGGCTTCTTTTTTTTTTTTTTCCCCAAACATGAAAGTGCGTCTACTGCCACAGGCTTC